CAGCCGGAAGGAAACAATTCAAGTATTGTGGAAACACAATCAGGATAACACAAGATTTAGCAGCTTCTACATTAAGGGTCCAGAGGGCATGGAGTATGATATTCCGGAGGGCAAAGGAATTAGGACTACAATCTAGAATCACCTACCCAGCAAAACTGAGTATAATCCTTCAGGGTAAAAAATGGTCATTCAATGAAATAGAGGACTTTCAAGCATTCCTGTGGAAAAGATCAGAGCTGAATAGGAAATCTGACCTTCAAATACAAGACTCAAGTGAAACATGGAAGAGGTAAACAGGAAAAAGAAATCATAAGAGACTGATTAAGGTTGAACTGTTTACATTCCTGCATGGAAAGATGGTATTTGTAACTCATGAGTCCTTTGTCAGTATTAGGGTAGTGGCAGGGAAAAAATTATGTTTGGATAGATAGACAGATAGATAGATAGATAGATTTAGAGGACACAGGGTGAGTTGAAGATGAGGGGATGATATCTGGAAAATAAAATTAAGGGGTGGAAGAAGATTATACTGGGAGAAGGAGAAAGGGAGAAGAAGAATGAGGTAAAATATCTTACATGAAACATACAAGAAAAGGCTTTTACAGTGGAGGGGAAATGGGGGAAGGTGAGAGGGAATGAGTGAATCTTATTCTTACAGGATTTGGCTTAAGGAGGGAATAACATACACAATGGGGTATGGAAATCTATCTTACCCTAAAGGAAAATAAGAGGGGAAGGGGACAAGAGAGCAGGGGGTTGATAGAGGGGAGGGCAGATTGGGGGAGGGGATAATCAAAAGCAAACACTTCCGAGGAGGGACAAGGGTCCAAAGAGAGAGAAGAATAAATGGGGGGTAGGATAGGATGAAGGGAAATATATTCAGTTTTTCACAACAGGACTACTATGGAAGGGTTTTGCATGACTCCACATCTACAACCTCTATCGAGATGCTCGTCTTTTCAATAAGGGTGGGTGGGGAGGGAGGAAGGGAGAAACTTGTAACCCAAAGTTTTAAAAACACATGTTGAAAATAAAAAAAATTAAAAAAAAAAAAAAAGAAAAGAAAAATAAGGCCGCACTTGTCTGATCTCTGGTCCGCCTCTAGCATAATACTCACCTAATAAACTGGGATCTGCTCGGACCATCTTCTGCTTCTTCTTCTTCTTGCCACTCTGCACAGCCTCAAAGTTCGTTTGCTGGTTGTTGCTCTGGTTGGTCTGAAACACCGAGTGAAGTGTGCTGTGGTTCACGGCCCACACAGAGTCCTGCAAAAGGAGCACACGTGGCCAGTCAGAGCGTGGCCTAAGCCCACGTTCCCCGGGGCAGGCTCAGCTGAGTGCTGGGTCAAGGATGAGGCACACAGCCCCCGGCCAGCCGCCTCCACAGTGGCTCTGGGTCTGCGCAGGGCCCCGACTGCAGTGGCAGGCGCGCCCCAGGCAAAGGTTGGCCTCCTGGGCTGCCCTGACACAACTGTCCAACTGCTGAGATGCCACTTCAAATTTTGTTCTAGTTTCAAGTCTTCTCTCCCCAACGAGATTCTAGAAGACAGAGACCATGCCTCGTGTTCCTTTGCCTATCTCGTGAGACACAATTCAGTGCTGAATAATAATGATGATAATAATTATTATCATCATTATTATAACAGCAATAATGACAATAATAACCGACGTTCACATAGCATTTACTACGTACCAGGCACTGGACTGAGTGCTTCACAATTATGCCATCTGATCCTGGGAGGGAGGTAGTATTATCATCCTTATTTTACACATAAGGAAACCAAGGCAAGTAGAGGTGAAGTGGCTTGGCCAGCGTCACACAGTTACTATCTGAGGCAGGATCTGAACTCCTGTCTTCCTTAGTCTATCTTGGTTCTCTAGCTATTGGCCACCAAGCTGCCTCGGCAGAGAAAACATCAATACATTCTCTGCCAATCTGATCGACAAGGTGATGGACGTGGGGGCAGGACAGAGCAGTCCAGACTTTTCTCGGCCTTTGGGGAAAAACCAGTTGACGATCGCCTCTCTTTTTCACCCTCGTGTTATGTTTATCTTACCTCACAGGATTCCATTCTCAAGTTCTCCTAAAATCTCCCCCCTTCAATCCTTCCTCCCACCTTCCTAACAGAGATCTGGCCATGTTACTCCCCTGTGAAAAAGTCAAATGCCTGCCTATGAATCAATGCAATAAGTCAAAAGCAAACTCCTGTGCTCCCGGAGCTCCTTCTACCGGGTGACACAGCACAGACACAGATAAGTAAAACAACGAGGCATTTCAAGAGGGAGACAATGCTACCAATGAAGGCAAAGGTGTGGGCATGGGAATCAGGAAAGGCCTTCTGGGAAAGCAGGTGGGAGTCAGATGGGAGAAGACTTTAAACTCTACTCTCAAGAACTTTATAGGGGCAGCTAGGTGGCGCAGTGGATAGAGCACCGGCCCTGAAGTCAGGAGGACCTGAGTTCAAATCCGGCCTCAGACCAAACACCTGACACGTACTAGCTGTGTGGCCTTGGGCAAGTCACTTAACCCCAACTGCCTCACCAGAAAAAAAAAAAAGGAATTTTATAGTATAGGTCACTGAAGGAATATTAATCTGATAGCTATGTGGATAATGGGATCAGAGAAAACAATCTCTGGGAGCAGAGAAGAATGCAGAAGCTTTTCTCTCAGTCTGGCAAGCAGGGATGGAAGCTTTGACTAATGCTGGGGCTGTGGGAGAGACGATGGAGAGGGAGAATCCAGGAGACCTGTCAACTGACTATGTGGCAAGGACGGTGGAGGAGAGCGAAAAGTCAAGAAGGATGACTCAGAGGCAATGAACCCGGTCGGCCAGAAGTCCCAGGATTCCCTGCAGAGGGAAGTTCAGACCCTTCTGGCTGGTCCTCCAGTTCTTCCGGAAGCAGGCACTAGCCTGCCTGGCCATCTTCAGTCCAGACAATCTGACTGCCTTAAAGCTGCACTGCCTGAACTCCCCCCTTTTCTAGACCTTTATCTGCACTATTTCCCTTTTCCATCCCTTAAAGACCCTCAGACACAAGAATCGACACACATCTAAGGAGGATATGCCCTTTCCTCCTCGACTGGCCTTACACGATTCATTTCAAACGTTACCACAAAACAGCCATGCCTAGCAAGTGATCAGGCCCCGTACCGGCTGCTGCTGTTGCCGCTGCTGGTTTGCTTTCTGTTTGGCACGGCGCTCAAGAAACTGCTTGGCAAACTCCTTGGCCTCCGAGGTGTCTCCTAAGTAGGCCCTGATGTAATCATGTACCTCATAGGGAGATTCCACTTCCTTCAGGAAAGAGACAAATGTGGGAACTGCAACACAATGAGAAAAAATGACTGATAATGGGACAAGTGACCATGTGCAGGAGGGGGAGCAGATGCAAATATGGACTTAAATTCTCTAGCATCTGTGCTGCTAATGCTTAGATCACAAAGCAGTGACTCTGTTCTCCCTGCTTTATTTTCCAAAGGAGGCATCCCTTGCCCACCTAGGGTGTCCTGGCCCCCAGCACAACACAGCCTCCTTCCCTCATTCCCAATGCCGCCATCGCCGCTGCTCCTTACCGTCTAAGTTGTTGGCCGTGTTCAGCGCGTGAAGCATCTGCTCACACCACTGGGTGAATCCATCCTGGGCCTTGTTCACTCCCTGGAAGAGCTTCAGAAGCTTCTCCTCTTCCTCCACCTTCTTATTCTGCCTGCTAGAAACCCCTACGGACTTACTAGAGCAAAGCAAAGAGAAGTCTGATGTTACACTCCCAGAAAGAGACCCTCGTGGGCCCAGCACAAAGCGAAGCCAACAACAGCTGGCTGCCTTGGATGGAGGGCATGGGGACGAGCTGAATGACAGCTTCATCAGGCTGGGTCCCCAGAGGGGGCCCTCCTCACAACAGCAGTCCCCAAGGCTTCAGTTCTGAGGCAACTCTCTACGCCCCTTTAAGGTCTAACTAGCAGATTCAGATTTCTCAAGTAGAAAGACTTCTAAATACAACAGGATTCAAATCAGTCCTTCACTCAGACACCATTTTAACTGATTCAAGACAAGTGAATAATACCAGCAAATGTATTCACTTAATTCACTTCCAAGTTGGAGAGAGGCTGTATAATTCATAGATCTGCCAAAGAAAAAAAAGGGAAAAAGAAGCATGACACCAATGATAAGCCATTACAAAGAACAGTGCTGGGCAAAAGTGAGCACACTGACTTGTTCATCCTGGACAGAAACATCCCTTGATATTTAGGGAGCTTGTTACTTTCAAAAGTGAAACAGAGATAGATGGAGATAGATAGATAGGAAGGAAGGAAGGAATGGATATATCTATAGATCTATACAGATATACATAGACAGATATACACACACGTACACATAATGTAGCAGCAAAAATTTCAATGAATTCCTTAATAAAGGGTATGCAGGTAGGCGATGAAGTGGATAGAGCACTGGATCTGGTGTTGGGGAAGATAGGATCAAATCTGGCCCTGGACACTTACTGCTTGTGTAACCCTGGGCAAATCACTTAAGTCCTATTTGACTCCATTTCTCATCTGTAAAATGGGGACACAGTGGAGAAGGAAACAGTACACCACTCCAGTATCTCTGCCAAGGAAACCCCACGGATAAGTCCACAGGGTCACACAGAGTTGGACAACAACAGACTTCCAGACACCTGGAACATTCTGAGACTCCCACTGGACAAGACCTGGCTATTGTTTCGCAGTGGGCAGCACCCCGAGGACACCCTCTGACCCAACACCAGATGAGTCACAGGGTAACAAGGTGCAGTGATGTTTTAAGCTGCAGAATTTAAAAATTCTGAAAGGTTTATATTTGTAAGAATAACAAAGATCTCTGGCATAAATGCCTGAAGCCCAGAATAAGCCAGTGAGCCCACGATCGTTTTCTTCAAATGATATTCAGCGAGTTTAAATCCCACCCTGACAAGTCATGTGGCGACCGGGGATTTCTAATTCACTTGAAAAATGGAGAGAGAAGTGATACTCTGATAAAGCACGCTATGAGGAAGAGCTGTATAGCCAACAGCAAACTACCAAAAAACCTTCCCTGAAATCTGTCACTAAAGACTTTTTTTTTTTTAAGAAAAGCTTAGACAAACTAATTTGCCATAAAGAAACAGGAATTTGTGGTTGGGACCACCAAGATATGGCCTCTGGACAGGACTGCCAGGTGGACAAATGCTTACTTCTGAGGTCTGCAGAGCGATCATCACGAGGACAACGATCTGGAAGGGAAGCCAAGTGGCTTCCAGGCCACCACCTACCTGAGGCTGGCGTTGCTTTTGTTCTTACTGGAATTCCTCGGCCCCATCTCCTTCACAGCATCATCCCAGAATCCCATGTTGGAGTTTTTGGTGTCGGCATTGCTCCAGATACTACTAACGAGGTCTGACGCCCATTGGCTAGGGGGGCTAGTGTTCAGAGAGCCCCAGACAGAATTCCCGATGCTGGTGTGCAGGTTAGAGTGCTGGGGAGAAACAAGAACAAATGTCTGGCGATATGACAAGGGGAGAGGGAGGCCCAGAAGGCAGATAAAACGGAAAGGAAACGGAGCGGCCTTCTGTGAGGTGAGTTCTGAGAAAAGGGGGCTCACCGGGGGATTGCGGACCCTGTTGGGCTGCTGGTGCTGCTGCTGCTGCTGCTGCTTCTGCATCTGCCGGGCCTCCTCCTGCTGAATCTCCAACAGGGACTTAGCGGTGCCCGCGGGTTTGCTGATATTGCCCCAACCAGACAGTTTCTGCTGCTGCTGCTGCTGCTGCTGGAGGGCTTTCATCAATTCCCGCTGCTGGCGCCTTTGCTGTTACAAACAGAAACAGGAATCCTTTAGAAAGCTGGTTTCTAAGAGACTGTTACCAAACCCCACCCCACCCCACCCCCACAGAGGCACAGATCTTTACTCTTTTATGGGTCATAAACTGTGACAGTCACTTTATCTACTAGAAAAAAAGCTCTCTGGACAGAAGTGGTCAAAGAGGAAGACAGGACTGATATGGGAGTTCAGGTTTATTCGTGCACAGTGTTCAATGAAAGGCTGAAACCATGACTCCTAAACGGTCTTCACCTTTCTTACGATTTATGCACATTTGTTACAAACGCGAAAAGCTGGGAGACTTTAAGGCATGAGGGGCAGGAAGCAACACTCTTCCAGGATGACAAAGGAGACGCCGCAGCGCATCAATCACAGTTCCAGGCAGATACCAGAAAGCAATTCCAGAAGTCGTTCAGGAAAAACTGGTACGACAAAATCTCTCTGAAGAGGGACGTTCGGTTCTACTAATATCGATACGACCATCAAGACTGAATTTGTTCCAGCCCCGAATCACAGAACCAGAGACTTCTAGTCCAAGCTACACGTGAATCTCCACTGCAACATTCCCCAAGGGTGGCCACACACCCTCAGGCTGAATGGCTGCCCATCCCACGGCGGGACGACCCTCACCGGTAGGAGTGAGACATGGCGTCACATCTCAACTCGCGTCTTTGCAGCCTCTACCCACTGGTCCCTCTACTCAGCGTCCGGCAAAGCCAGTTTGTTCCTTCTTCCGCAAGAGAGCTTTCAAATACTCGCAAGCAGCCACCATGACCCCCGAAGTCTTCTCTTTTATAGGCTAAATAACCCTGGTTCCTTCAACTGAGGCTACGGAACACTGGGTCAAGGCCCTTCCCAACTCCAGGGGCCGGCTCTGGGACGTCCTTTAGCTGATCGAAGCCAGTCTCCCAGTACAGCACCAGCACTGAACACAACACTTCAGCGGTGATCTGAGAGGGGCACGTGACAGAGAGAATCACCCCCGACTTGTTCCTGGAAGCTGTGCTACACTTCATGACGGTCCTAGAGCTTTTTGGCGCACCACCCAACACTGATTCGTGCTGAGCTTGAAGTCTAACACCTCCCAATCTTTTCCAAGCTGCTATCTGACCGTGCCTTCTTGACCCTACGTGAGGCTGATTCTGTGAGTCCAAGTGTAAAACTTTTATTCTTAACGAACTCATCTTACACTATCAATAGTCATACCAATAACCAAAATACTCCAACCACTAAAATTTCAAAATTTTTAAACCTCACCCCATCAGACTGGCAAAGCTGAGAAAATGGAAAATGGAAACTGTTGGAGGAGCTGCGGCAGAATGAGTACTGATCCAAGGTTGGTGGGCCTGTGAATCAGTCCAATTCACTGGACTGTGCATACTTTGAAGAGCCAGTGATTAACACTCTTAGGCACAGACCTCAGAGATGAAGGGAAAGGCCTCATATGAACAAATTTTTTACAGCAGCACTTTTTTTTGTACCAAGAACTAGAAAGAAGGGGAGTTTCCATGAGCTGGGGAATAGCTAAATGTTAGCTGAAGATACTCATCTTCACGCAGTGTCACCTATATTCTAGCCACTGCCTCCATCACAATATGATTACTCCAACCACTCAACTGGTTTTGATGCTGGAGATGAAAAAGAAGGCAAAACACAAACAGTTCCTACTCTCAGGGAGCTCGAATTTTAATGGGGGAGACAACATGTAAACAACTGGGGACAAATCAGATAGAGCTGGAATAAATTAGGAAGTAATCTCAGGAGAAAGGTGCTGGCCTTAAAGAGGATTAGGAAAGGCTTTTTGTAAAAGATGGGATTTTAGCTGAGACTTGAAGGAAACCAGGAGGGAGAGAAGAGGAAGGAGTGTGTTCCAGGCATGGGAGATAGCTACTGAAAAAGCCTGGAGTTGGGAGATGAAACAGCAAGGACTCCAGCATCACTGGAGTGCAGCAGAAGAGTACATGAAAAGGAGTAAGGTGTAAGAAGGCTAGAAAAGGAGAAAGAGACCAAGTTAGGAAAGGCTTTGAAAGTTAAAAAGAGGATTTTATTTGATCCTGGAGGTGATAGGGAGCCACTGGAATGGACTATAGCAGTTAGAGACTGGAATGAAGGTGTTATAAAGAGGCCAGGTGTGAAGTGATGGGGACCTGCACCACAAGGGTGGTATACTTTGTGAAAATCTAGGTAAAATCCATCTAAAGCAGCACTGCTGTCCCAATTCAGTAATCTTGTCAAAAACAGACACAGGTTTAGTTTGGCATGACCGGTTCCTTCGTATCTGAGGTTTCTCACCCCAGATGGAAAGGCAGCAGCCACTCACAGGTCTGACCCCACTGATCCCCTGCAGAGCACAGAAGCTCTGATCAACACCATTTCCAACCTGGGTCAGTTTATTTCACCCTAAGCAGCCTAGATCCCCCCAAACATCTCAATGAAGCTCTAATGCCTCAAAAAAGATCATGATGAAGAAAACCAAAACCAAATAGCTCTGAAGTCCTCTATCCGGTCTAGGATTACACAGAAATACTGCCTAAATCCCATGAAAGATCAGAATTGAAACAAGTTAGGGTAGAACAGCAAAGAGTTCAAATAGATAAGTCCTAGAGCAGGACTGAGGGCCAGCACAGTGCCAGCAACCAAAGAAGACAGACCACTGCCCAGGACTGGGCCCAGGGCCCACCTCAAGGGTCCTAATAAAACAAGGTCAGACCAGCGCACAGAAAAGCACTGGCCTATATAACCTACCCTCTTAACCAAGGGCCCAAATAGCCTGACCTGAACCACAGCAGGAGATAAAGTCGGACCAGTGCCTACTAGGCCCTGGCACAAGCCACAGCAGGAGAAAGGGCCAGGCGGCACCTGGGATTGTGCAGGAGGCCCCCCATAACAATCAACACCACTTTATTGGGGCCTGTCAAGGGCACCGCAAGGCACAAAGCCAACATTAGGTTCAGGGCTCTGTGAGGACGCAAAGAAGGCACCAAAGCCAAACTCTAAGTCAAGTCACCAGGAAACTCAACCATAATCCAGGAATTCCTATAGAAGGTGGGGCCTAATCTTGAGCTCTGCATCCAGGTCCAAGCAGGGCCGGACCATGCTCTCCAAGAGGAGAAAAAGGAACAAAGTTTGACCCAAACACAAAACCCCAATTCAGAAACTGTGGGTGGGATATGAGTAACATAAGACAATGCTCAATACAACAGAGAAATACCTTGGACTGAGAGAAGTCCAAGAGGTAAACTCAGAAGAAAAGACTAACTCCACAAGTCCAAAGAGATGTTCACAGAAAAGAAGATCCTGTCCACAAGGACTACAAGAGTACCTGGAAGAAATGAAACAAGAAATACAAAATGTAATGTTAAAGAAAACAACAGCCAAGAAGGAAAGAATGACAAAGAGAATTAATAGCTTATAAGAGATGGTGGTAGATCTTACCCCAAAACTGAATTCCCTGAAAACAAGAATGAGCCAAACAGAAAGCAATGAATTCAACAAAGATAATAAGAAATACTAAAAATCTGTAAAATGATTGAAAAATAAAAACAGGAGAAAATATAAAGCATCTATTACAAAAAACAACATACCTGGAAAACAAGTCAAAGAGAAATAATATGAGAATTAAAGGACCACTAGAAAATCCTGATTTTTTTTTTTTAAAAATGAAATGAACAGGAGCACTATGACAAAAACCAGACCATTCAGGTCAAAGAAAAAATGTGGCAAGCAGCCCAAAAAAGAAATACCAGGGTGCTACAGCCAGAAACACATAGGATATGGCAGCTGCCACTGTAAGGAGAGAAAGCTGGGAATATGATATTCCAAAAAGCAAAAGACAAAGGTTTACAACCAAGAAGCACTAAGGCAGCTTAGCTGGTACAATGGCTAGAGTGCCAGACCTGGAATCAGGAAGATCTGAATTTAAATCTGGCTAGAGGCACTATCTAGCTGGGCAAATCACTGTGTGTGTGTGTGTGCGCGCGCGTGCGTGCGCACGCATATACAACTCAGTCTCCTCATCTGTATGGATATAATAATAACATCTGCCAACCACGATTGTTGTGAGGATAAAACGAGGTGATGTTTGCAAAGCACTGTGCAAACTTTAAAAGGCTAAAACTGAGTAGAAACTTGGAAATACAAATACAAGAGTCAAGAGACAAAAAACGGTCAAGACATCTGATTAACTGCAAAAGACTGAATGATGATGAATTGTTTACATTTTAATATTAAGGTATAGAAGAAGCAAATGTCTTCCCAGAATCCTTAAAATGAGGGTCAGAGAGAAAGTTAAGAGAGTCTAGGGGAGGGGGGAGCCCACTAATGGACAGTTATACTCCATTTGAAGAAGGAAATGAAACGGAAACAGAAATTTTACTGCGAAGAAAATTTGCTATCTCACACAGTAGGGGTATATGATATAGAGAATACATACACATGAAGAAAGGAGAGAGGAGAAATAAGCATTCCATGAACCTCACTTTCATATGAATCAGATAAAGGAAGCCAGAACATGCACACAGAATTTGGTATAGAAAAACATGACACTCAACAGTGAAACAGGCAGAGGAAGATGAAGTAAAACAAACTCGAAGGTCAGAGTGGAGCACTGGGGGGGAGGGAGAAGAGAACAGTGAGGTTTAAAAAAAAAGGGGGAAAGCAAAGGAGAAGGGGAGGGGGGAGAAACAGATAGCTTCAATTATAGATCATTGGTGTGGAGTAAGCACTTTTTTCTTTCACCACCTTCTTTGTAAAGAGTAGGATGAAGGGCCAAGAGAAAAAAAAAGTACAAGAAGACAGGATGAAGAGAAGCACAATTAATACTCATCATCATGAGTGTGAATGAGATGAATTCATCCATAAGATAAAAAGGATAGCAGAATGGATTAGAAAGAATGCAAAAATACGCTGTTTACAAGAAACACTTCAAAGAGTCAAGTGGCAGGAGCAAAACCCAATATACTTCAGGTGAACTCAAATGAGAGTGAAAC